TAATTTTTTGCTAGTGACTTAGGTAACCTAGTCATCCATCTCAAACAACATTAACATGAAGTCTTCTATTGTTTAAAGTTGGTAAAAACACTTGCTCGTATGATATTGTGCTTTGCTCCTTATCCTAAAAAGCCCTAAATAAACTTATTTGTTCTCTAAGGTCTGAAGCTTTTTTAGGGATAATCTTGTCTCCTCTCCTAATAGAGAAGGGTTGAGTAGAATCATGTTTTAGTATAAGGCCTATTCTAAAGGCAATTGAACCCTAGTGAGCGATTTTAGTTTTAGGTTCGAAACTAAAATCTCTCTCAAATGATATAATCTTCTTACCCTTTTTAGAACTTAATTTTTATAAGAATAAAATGTGAAAGGAAGAACAAAATAGAATTTTTTGTGTCTACCTAGAATATGATAGAGAAACTTGATCTTCTCGTTTAGGGCTCTAATTGTAGAAAGTTTAGAGAGAGTTTTTAGCAAAAATAAAAAAGTTATGAATAAAACAAAAGGGATTTATACAGGCCACCGCCTCTCATTCCTACCAATAAATAAACAATATGTGGCTCCATCCTTTAACGCTAGGAAAGCTAAACACCCATTACTTTAATTACACATTGTTGAATGATCTTTTCAAAGAGATTTGTGATAGCCCCTCTAATAGCATTTGTAATCAATATAGGGATGACAAAATGAATTTAATCAATTGTCTCCCAAAAGGTTTTTTTTAAGTCTTTTTGCATGGAATGCATAAAGACTTGAGGGGGAATTGATGAATCAATATTTTTTATGCACTGTAAAAAAGCATAAGTCCTTGTTTAAAAAGGTCTAATAACTGGGTGGTAACTCATTGATAGATGGGCAAGGTTTGCCTCCATGCCAAGACAAGAGAAGATAAGGATTGTCACCAAGTCAAAAGTTGGTCACCCACTTATCAATTAGTCATCAAATCAATAGTTCCCAATTTTGGCCTATAAAAGGAGGCATTTTCCATGCATTTAGGCATATTGGTTTCCAGATCAAGATCATGCTCTTCCTTTCTCTCTTTGTATTTTTTATGCTTTGTTTTCATTAATATTAAGTTTATGCCTTTCATTTCCTTTCCTTTACTTAGTTAACTTTTATGTTCTTATTTTGTTTATCTATTTTGCTTTCTTTCATTATGTCTAGCTAAGTTAGTTATGTCAAGGTGAAAAGGTTACACTAATGGTGTAAGAATAAGTATAATGTAAACTTAATATGGACTTTAATGTTTGATACTAACATGTTTTATATTTGTTATCTTGTTCACTCTTTAATACTTTGTTTGTTAAATGACTAATCTTGATTTATGTTGTATAACACTTGGTACAACAAATGCTTGGCACTTTCATAGCCCATAATGTATGGTATAACCGACACCTGAGCTATGAAAGGAACTTGATTTGTTGTTAACATAAGTTATAATCATGAATGCTTGACGAGATTTACAAGTATTAGCATTAATTGAATAAGATGACTAATGTAATCATGTTAACAATATATAATCTGATTGGAACCTCCTTTGCATGTGGTTTCCAATTCAATAATAAGAGTGTATACTATACTTGTTTGATATACCATTAGTGGAACCTCTAACCTTGACATTTGTTATTATTATTGTTTAATCCTTACATTAATATTTCATCTCTAAGTTCTCATCATCATCATCTTCTTCTTCTTCTCTTTCTTTATTATTATTATTATTATTATTATTATTATTACTACTATTATTGTTGTTGTTATTGTTGTTTTATAATTGTTGTTTATAATTTGTACAATTAACCTCCCTGTGGTTCGACCCCGGTCTTGCCGGGTTATTTATTACTTCGACACTCCTACACTTAGGAGAAAACACCAACCTTTTAGTCGTGTCAAATATCTTTAGGTCAGCCATGAGTAAAGTCCAAGCGAATGTGGGTCTAATGAGTTGTGAAACCCAATATCTTTAGTTTAGCCACGTGATGAGTCCACTAAGACGTGGGCCATATGAGCTACCAAACCCAATATACTTGGGTTTAATCACATACTGAACCTAAAAAAATATGGGTCTGGCGAGCTGATAAACCTAACATCCTGGGATTCAAATATGTGTTAATCCTAAATAAATATGGTTTGACAAACTGTCAAACTCAAGCTATATATGCAATCCAAGTGGACGTGGGTCTAGCGAGTTACTAGACGCATCGCCTATGGGCTTAGATACGCACCAAGTTAATCGGTCTAAAGGCCTTTATAGCTCATGTAGGTCCATAAGGCTCTGTTCATTTATTCTTAAAACTTTTAACATGAAATATTCATTCTAGGTATATTTGTCTTCCTACATCTATAGGTATAAAAACTCTCTCAAATATTTACCATATTTTCATCTCATTAATGATATGTAAGAAATATTATCCTTCTTTAATGTTGTGTAATGAATATTTATCCCTCATAAATTCTATTAGGAGAAAATAAATCTTCATCCCTTCTACTCTATCAGAATAATAAGGTTTAGAAATTATAAATATCTAATGAATCATCTAGATAAAAAGTTTATAATTTTTATTCTCAAAGCATTTACCATACAACAACAAGAACAAACATACTTATTGTTAGAATTTAAAGCTCATTCTCTTATTTATTATAATTATTTACTAAAAATCATTGATTTTATCATCAAGTAGTCCTTGAACCTCACCAAAAAAAAATTATTTGTAAATATTAAGTTTTTTATCATTAACTATTTACTTTGTGAGCTCTAGAAAAAAGAATATTAACTTAAAAGTGTAATTAATCAATATCCCAGTGCCAAATAAACTCCTTCATAAACATATTTAATTTATTATTATTTTCTTTAAAAAAAGTCCTAATACTTGAATATACCGCGGCAAGATAGTGAACGTGAATAAAGTTCATTCCGAGACACAGAAACTGGGCCTATCATATAATTCTTTTATCATTAAAGAAAATAAAACAAGTTGTTAGTATTAGGCCAGATGTAAGCTCATTTTAGAATGGCTCCAAATAAAGAAGCCCAATGGTGCTGTTAAACGCCAACCGCATGTCATCTTCGCATCAGCGGACGACCTGCAATCTTCATATCCAGCGCGCTCCCGGTGTCTACGCTTTCAGCCTTGACTGATGATCCCATGTGTTCAATTTCCATTATGAAGGAAAAGCAGAGGGAGAGGGAGACCTAGACATGATGGAACTGGCAAGCGATTTCAAAAATGTTGAAATTAACTACCCAAAGTCAATAGACAGCATGAAAACCGTTTTAAAATCCTTCCTCCTGCACATATAAACCGTGTTTTTGGGGATTTAAGAATATATAAATCCAAACTTCAAAGGATATGTCAATTCATACAGGGACTGGTGATATATCATGACTTAAATTTAATGAAATCATTGGCTACTAATCTTTATCATTATCTTGACAGATACTTCGAACTTGATTCTGATGTAATCAAAAACAGATAATTAAAAATATTTATGCTGACTGAGTCTTTTAAGCCAGAATATAAACTTCTTTGATCCCTCTCAACTGTGAAAATTGATGAAAGAAAAGGAAGGATGAAGTGAGCTTCGGAATCTAATTGAGTCAAGTTTTATAAACTCAAGTCCATATTGAAAGCCTATAGCATCCCTTAATTTAAATTCACACCTACTCTTCAAAACTTACACCCAGTATTCTTGCAACATGTACCTTTCCATCCTATATATGTGTCATGACTTTGAATATGTTAATTTCTATTAAAAAATCATATAAATTATATTTTATGATGTTATTTAATAGTTTAAATTTTTATATTAGAAGGATTTTTTAATATAATACTAGAATTTTAAATAATATAAATTATATAATATAACCCCACTATAATAACTATATTCAAAGTCATGATGCACAACATATCGAAAGAAGAACCTATGAAGGGAGCTTGACCAAACCCTATGTAGCTGGATGCAATCTTTTCTCCTACTACGCATCAATTCTTCCACACGTATACTGGCCATTACAAGGACTGAGGACTACTGAATGGAACTCAAAATAATTTTGAAAAGATGGTTTTATAGATCTTTCTGTGTATACGTACCAGCTTGGAGGATGGAATCAAAATCCAAACTTTCGGATACATGCTTCTCTTTTTTCAACTATGTGGATGGTCTTTTTTGTTGGGCGTGATAGTTACTTGGTCAGACGAAGGAATATACGGGCACATTATTACGAGTAAGCCTGCCGAAGTACAAAAGTTGTCCTCTTTCCAGCTTCTCGGAAATTAATCATGCACCGAATGTGATAACCATAACCACCGACCGAACCACACCCGTCAGCAAGGGAAAACCTCTTCAATTTTCCCAATAACTGAAGTTTCGTCTTGAAAGAAATCATTTCAGCACTAAATTCAAGATTTTATCTGTGAATGTTTATCAATGTCAAAGGTGCTTTTTAATTTCTCTTTGTATCAATGAAGTTTCCTTGCACCTTCCAGGGCAGACGAAGTCTAGAAGCACACAGAGGTACAAGAAGAAATTGCAATGAGAAAAGCAATATGGACTCCATATTTGACTATGGAATTAGGAATGGTAGTTTCAATGGACAATAACTTGCCTTGCCTGCCTGGGTTATTGAATAATGATAAAAAGAGGCGTAAGCAAGATATACCGTTAGACTTGTTCTTCAAAGAATCTGTAAAATCTCATGTATTTTACCCCTTTATTAATTGCAAAGGGCAATTAGAAGGAGGAGCAGATGTAAGATTGCGTGAGAAAACAATTATAAACTACTCCAATGATTATGTTTAATGCAACTACAAGACCAAGTAAGCAGAGCTACCAGAAATGACAATACATTTGATGACAACAACCTGCATAATAGTCAACCAGACATTATTCATATTCAATTCCACTATAGTGATTACTACAATTCTAAGCTTTCAAAGGGAATAAAATATAAGATCAGAAAATGCTAGGAAATTCACTCCCTAATACAAGTCATTAGTTCTGCCAAACATTTTTTTTTAATTTAAGCTGATAAGAATCTATCTTCTGTGTAATTGTTATCTCATTCATTATCATTTAACCTTGCCAGAGAGTTGCTCAAGAAAATCTGAAAAGGTCATTCGACAGTATTGCCGAGATGCGCTTTCCCCTGGCAGCCACTTCTGCAATCCTAGCTGTCGTCTTGGCTCTTGCTCAAGTACAGAGCCGTGGTTTTCAGTTTCCAAACTTCACGATTTCAGATCAGTCTGAACTTATTTTGAGTGACAATTCTTCTATAGCCCTCGGCGCCATCCAAGTCACACCAGATGTTCGTGGAGCTAGCATGGAAAACAGGGCTGGAAGGACCCTGTACCGACGGCCATTCAGGCTGTGGAGCAAGGAGGGGAAGAAAGCAAATTTCAATACGACCTTCGTTCTCAATGTCCAAAACATGACAGCTTCAAGTGGTGAAGGCTTGGCCTTTATATTAACCGCAGATCCTCACGTTCCAGGTGGAAGCGATGGACAATGGCTTGGGATTGTAAATTCCAGGTTAAATGGAACCACTGACGCGAAGACAGTGGCGATAGAATTTGACACTAGAAAAAGCTTCCCAGAAGATCTTGACGATAACCATATTGGATTGGATATAAACAGTGTCTACTCAAAAAGATCGGTTTCGTTAAATGATAGAGGTATTTATATTTCTGCGGCCAAGGATATCAAGGTAGTTGTTCAATATGACAGCAAGAATTTGGTTGTTTTTGTCGGTGACGACATGAAGAATCCAGTTCTCTCTGAGCCTCTCGATCTCTCGGCCTATCTTCCAGAAAAGGTGTATGTGGGATTTTCGGGTTCAACAAGTAATAACACGCAATTAAATTGTGTGAAGTCGTGGCAGTTTAACATTTCTGAGGTAAAAGATTCCAAGTCGCGGACGGTTTGGATTTTGGTTGCTGTAGGATCAGTGCTAATCCTGTTGATTAGTATTGGTATTGGTATAGCCTTTTTCTTGTACAGGAAAAGGGGATATGAAGGAAATAGGGTGGAGAATACTCATCCAAATATTGAAGAGGCAATCCTAGGCTTCTCAACTGCTCCGAAGAAGTTCAAATTCAAAGAACTTAGCAAAGCAACTGGCAAATTCAACCCTAAAAACAAGCTCGGGAAAGGTGGCTTCGGGACAGTCTACAAGGGAATCTTGGGAAAAAAGGAAGTTGCTGTCAAAAGAGTCTCAAAGAAATCAACCCAAGGAAAGCAAGAGTTCATAGCAGAAGTAACTACAATAGGCCACATCCATCACCGAAATCTTGTTAAGCTGATCGGGTGGTGCCACGAAAAGCGCGAGTACCTCTTGGTTTACGAGTACTTGCCTAATGGTAGCCTGGATAAATATATATTTTGGGATGAAAAGTCAGGCACGCAGGAAGAAACACTGAGCTGGGGAAAAAGGTTGAGTGTGATTTCAGGAGTGGCACAGGCATTGGATTATCTGCATAATGGATGTATGAACAGGGTACTTCACCGAGACATAAAGGCCAGTAACGTAATGTTGGATTTAGATTTCACTGCAAAACTCGGAGATTTCGGCTTGGCTCGCACCATTATTCATAATGAACAAACTCACCACTCAACAAAAGAGCTTGCAGGAACACCTGGCTACATGGCTCCGGAGAGTATTCTTACAGGAAGGGCAACGGCCGAAACAGATGTTTATGCTTTTGGTGTTCTTGTTCTGGAAGTTGCATGTGGAAGGAAGCCTGGAGGGCAGGCTGAGCGGGATGACTACATCTGTAACATTGTGAATGGGCTATGGGAACTTTACAGGAGGGGAACAATCCTCGAAGGTGCAGACCCCAGATTGAATGGAATATTCATAGAGGAAGAGATGGAGTGTGTTCTTATTCTGGGGCTGGCCTGCTGCCATCCAAACCCAAAAAATAGGCCCTCCATGAAAACTGTTTTGCAGGTTCTTACAGGGGAAGCGCCACCACCAGAAGTGCCAGCTGAAAGACCTGCTTTTACGTGGCCACCCATGCCTCCATCCTTCAATGAATGGGACAACTCTCTTGTTGGCGGCCAACTCTCTCCGTTTTCAGGACTCTCAGGGAGATGAATCAAACACCAGGGTTTGAAGCAGAATGTCGTAAGTCCATCAGTATGATTTGGTTTTAACCAATTATATAAGTACGTGTATATAGATATATCGTTGCCGTGTTCCAGGAAGTGATTATCGAAAAAGAGTAACACTTCAATAATCTTTTTTATTTATTCGTCAAATCATGTACATATATAGCGCTGGAAAACTAGCTGCAGGTTCATGAAAACTGGAGGAATATGTTCTCTGAATTGAAACCCTTTGGCCAGCTATGATTATCTAGGTGATCGGTGCTATGCTTGTAATTTGTAGATCCTATTTCAAAGAAATTTGCTGTGATTTTTTTAAAAATAGAAATTAAGCTGATTGTCATGTCGAAGGCTGTCCAAGATGTTTAACCATTATCAAGTCCTTGATTTTAAGTAGCAAACCAATATGTAACTTTAGTTAGTTGATTTTCTGAGTATAATTATTGGATTTTTCAAAATAAAAAAATTCTTGCTTAATTTAATTGGGAGATTATTGACGAGCTAGGACAATGAGTGAAGAGTTCTGACTTGCTGTGTTTAAGAAAGCTAGGCATCATTTCAGACGGTAGAAAGATCAAAGAACCAAACCAACTGAATTAACCAAACAAGACTGAGTCTTTTAGTTGAGTTTTGCTAAAATTTAAGGATTTTTAGTTCAGATTAATTTATTTTTATATCAAGATTTTCAGAAAACTATTCTCATTAATTAGACCCAGCTGGCCTCCTGCTCACCTCTACTGACAGAATGAACAAAGGCTGTGGGAAAAAGAAAGTGTAATTAACTGTCAAAAGATACTGAGATGGTACCCGTTACTACAAGGCGATCAATATCATAGACTCAGCAGCGAAAATGATTAAAGACTAAACAGTAAAGATCATCAGAGATTCTGCAGAAATTCATCGTTCTATATGGGGAATAAAGATTCAAAATCCCTCTCTACGGATGATACAATTATCTATCATGGAAAACAATAGTAAGAGAACTAGAAGATAGAATTCTATGAAATATTTCATTACTAGAATTTTCCTGATGGTTAGTTTGTTCATAAAGGTCCATCTTCATTCTTTTTCCAGATTGCATATCTGTAAGCAGAAGCTTTTCATGCTAAGTTGTTTCTTTGCTAATGAAAGCAGCTTTCATCGCAGAGAGAAGTTAATTGTGCTGATAATATTGTGGCTTGTGCAATGTCTCGAATCCAGACTGTTAGAACATGTTAAAAAGGAAGGCATTTGTTATCAGCAACATCTAGTGGCATTCTGCAAAATACTAGACCAAGCTCCTCCAGTTTATTTTTCACCCCATTAATTTTTTTTCATCAAGATCATATTTATTGTGATAAAAGGCGAAGTTGATGGGATGTCTTGGTGTTCATGTAAAACTTTGTGCGGTAGCTTAGTGAATGGATGCTGCTGCAGTGCCCCTGGAGCTGGAGGGATCTTACACATTATAAGCATTTTCCCATCACTGCATGCATCCTGTAGCCAGCTACCTTGATGCACCAATCCATGTTAAGCACCTCACTCCTGCCTGCATATGAGAAAGAAGCTTTTTTCCATGGACCAGTGTCAGTGAACAAGTCAAACTTGCTTCAATCAATACTTTTTTTTTTATTATTTATGTAACTATCTAGATTAATTTATATGCACTTGTCTAATTTTATAAATTTTAAAATTAATAATTATGTAAGTTTTTGATAGTTTTAAAAAGACTTGAACTAAAAAACAAACTCTAAACCTAATCAATTAAAATATTTTTAGATTTCAATTTATATTTAATAGGAGGCAAGTATTCCTGTAGATTTCAATTTATATTTAATAGGAGGCAAGTATTCCTGTATAAAAGAGAATGATCGACACATAAGTTATAATTCATGTTATTTTATACATAATTATATAAAATTAATTTTAATTATATAGATTTATAGGTAATTTATTAAGAATTCAACAAATTTTAATTTCAAACTAACTCTGAGCAATAATCTAACCATAACTAAACCAATTAAAAATTAACAATAAAACCTATTAATAACCAATTAAAAATTAACAATAAAAGCTATAAAATTAATAGTGATATAGGATTATTTTTTTTTTGAGGCAGTGATGGGTAGCAGTATTGGGGCAGTTTTTGACGAGAAAACCTTAAATTAATTGTGTTATTTTATATAGTTTTTTAAAATTATGTTATTCTATAAAAATTTTAATTTATTATGTTAATTTTTTAAAAAAATTAATCTTTACTATTTTTTCTTCATAAATAGAAATTCATTGAACAAAAAGCAACCACCTTGGAGATAAATCTTGCTTCCAAAGCCTAAAAGTACAAAAATACAAGAAACATGTGTAGATGCTACAGATGTAAAGCTAAACTACATTATGTACCATTGTTTGCATAATTGAAAATTTATAAAAAAATAAATTAGTATCAATCAACTAGAATCCTAATTAGTTTTTTTTGCCTATCTGCTTGTACTTGGATGACAATTCTTAATAATGAATTCGCTATGTAACCCTGTGGGTTATAAAATTTTTAAGAACAAATTATCGGGTATATAAGATGTATCAATATATTTTTTTATATAAAAAATTCAAAATATAAATTAAAAATTTTATGTAAATCTAATTAAATACATTATTAATTATTTTTTTAAATAAACAAAAAAATCATTAACATCAAAATAAAATTAAAAAAATTAAAAGATAAATGTAGATCAAGATATTCAATCATATAAATTAAGACTTTAACATGATTGTATTTATTAATTTTTTTATTTAAATCAATAAATTCATGATTGTATTTATTAATTTTTTTATTTAAATCAATAAATTCGTATCCAATGACTTAAAAAATAAACACAAATAAAACTGATTAAATAAACTCATACCATAAAAAATATTATACATGGCCAAATACATCAACAAAATTATTTTAAAACAAATATTTTTATTTTAAAAAATAAATGTAATTTGTATAAAACAATATATATATATATAGCTGAAAAGAGGCATGGAAAACACATAAATGATAATCATAAAACTTATTGAAAATAACAATAATCATAAAACCACTACTAAAAAACTAATACATAATGATAATATCATATAAAGTTGAATCCCAAACAAATTAAAAATTAAAAATTAAAATTAGGAAAGAATAATCAATTACAGAAAAGGATCTAAAAAAATTAGGATGGAAAAATATATTAATTGGAGGGATAAAATTTTTCAATTGAATGGATAAATTAAATTGAAAAATAACTATAGTAAAAAGAAAAAACAAATCAAAGGAACAATGGTTAAACTAGAAAAAAATAAAAAAATAAAAAAAGTGATTGAATGATAAAATTGAAAGCTAAAAAACTTCAACAAGAGCGCTAAGAAAAAAAATGTAAAAATAAGTATCAAAATAAAAAACAAAACATATGAGAAACTGCAATTAAATAAAAATGATAATTTAATCTTAACTCATTGGATGTTGACCTGACTCGACTCAAATGGATAGGTATTTTTCAGACCTGATAGATAATAGATAAAATATGGATTTTATCAAACCCGACCTAAAACTTGCTCGAGTCTAATCTAAAATATATATTTATATTATATAAATATATTTGTAAAATATCTAGATTTTTTTAATACAATATAATATATACATTTCTTAATATTAACACATAATACACATGTATGAACAATATTTAGAATTTATCATTTAATATATATATATATACACACACTATTTTATTTTTTATTAATTAATAAATGATAGTAGATAGTGGATTCTTATTGGATACCTAAAATCCAATAGATAGTATGAACATTTAAATTTTTTATTTTATAGATAATGGATAGAGTATAGATATAAAAAAAAATTGACTAAAAGATATTTATTGTCATTTCTAAAGTATTAAATTAAAAAAAATCTATCAAAAAAATTAGAACTAAATAAGAAATTAAAAAAATGAAAGTTGAAATTAATTAAAAAAAACTATATATAAGATATTGTAAGTAAGGAACTAATTAAAAAGAAAAAAGGCTTCTATAAGAATAATTATGTACATTATCCATAAAAAAAAAAGAAAAAAAAGATAAAATCAAATGATTATAAGTGACAATCCAATCATATTTAGATATTATATGTTAATCCAATCATATTTAGATATTATATGCTATTGTAAATTGAAAAGAACACGATGATACATTAAAAAAAATATAAAAAAATTATTTTTGATTATTAGATAGCGTTCATTGACGCGTTTTGAACACATACCCTCAGCTTTTATTTTTTAAAAAATAATAAACAATATGAAATTATCAAAAAAAATTTATAACAAAAATAATTATACTAAATAACTATATAAAAATGCAAAAATACCCCCGACTATGAAAAGTGAATAAATTCTATGATGAACTTTAATTTTTATTATCTATAAAAGTAAATCCGTATTTTTATTGTAAAAAAAAAATCCCCAAGCAATTTTTTAATGGCAAAGAAGCCAGTAAATATTTTGAAGGCAGCTCTGAAAACCAACCCCGAATGACCACAGATCAAGGACAATTTTGCCAGCACATTATTACTGTCCACAGTAAAAGCAGAGATCCAGACAGTAAAACATCTACACGCTATAATGTTCTGTTAATAATCCCTTGCATTTTCAACTTCTTTTTATTTTTTTGACCAAATGGACAATTATACCCCTGTTTTTAATGTTACCCTATACCCTTCGAGATGAGAGGCCAGGATGTGACATTGCTCGAAATCAACGGCCTATAAGCCCCATTCAGCCCTTTGCATAAATTGACTACCTGTCTTTCTCGGGCGCTCTAGGGTTTCTTTCTAGCCTAGGTTTGGCGTCTTCCCGCAAAAGAAAGAAAGAGGCGGTTTCAAAGATAAAATAAAATTTTCCAATGGTGAGTGAGTTGATGTGAAATGGTTTGGTTATCTGTTATGATCTGTTTCGCTCTTTAACTGATCTGTTTGTTAATGAAAGGTTCTTCAAAACGATATCGATTTGCTCAACCCACCAGCAGAGCTTGAGAAAAGGAAGCATAAGCTCAAGCGTCTTGTTCAGTCCCCAAACTCTTTTTTTATGGTAATTACAAATACCATACGTTTTCCCGCCCTTCTTTCTATTATTTTCCCTTCTGATTATGTTTTTATCATATTTTCTTGTAAAAACTTGCAGGATGTTAAGTGCCAGGGCTGCTTCAACATGTAAGTCATGCCATGACCTTTGTATATTTTTCTTGATGAATTTAAGCATTCCTTCTTAGCTGTTTGGTTTGGAAAGGGATCGTGGATGGTTTTATTTATTTAGTTAAATGAATATGTTGTGTGCAGAACCACTGTTTTCAGTCACTCACAAACTGTTGTGGTTTGTGGGAACTGCCAGACAGTGCTGTGTCAGCCAACAGGGGGTCGTGCCAAGCTTACAGAGGGTTGCTCCTTCAGGAAGAAGAGCGAGTGAAGATTTCGATAATTTACTCTCTTTATATCTTTTTTCCCTGTTTGGTAAATTGTTCTAGAGTTCTTTTTTAGGCATGACGGTGATGAATTGAACAAACTTCTTTTGATAAATTTGATTTTTAATTGTCTTAGGCTCTCTATGACTATATATATTATATAAGATTTTGGATTTTATTCAGTGAGAAAGGTTTTGAATATCAACCCAGGTCTATTGTAATGTAGTTACTGCCTTTGATTATGTTGTAGTTGATTATAGTTCATGCCTCATTTGTGGGTTTGGGGAGATTCAAGTTCCTACCTGCATCATGCATTTCAAGCTTTTATCTGCTAGTTTGTCAAAATTAGTTGATGGTACAGAAGTGAATGTTAATGCATAGCTACCCCGTATTATGCTATTATTATTAGTTGAGCACTTAGTTTTTTGGGCATTCTGTGTTGACGAGGGCAATGTAATCCTTGGCGTTCTTGCACACCAGTTCCATAATCTTGGAGTTTTAGTATTGAGTTTTACTAACGTTGATAGTCAAAGCACCTAGACACATCTACTATGTCCTGTACTCTGTTTTAGCTGTTAGAAAGTGTCTGGACTTTCTCCAGTTTGCACGCCACTGGATGACATCTTTTGCGTTGAATGGGTTTTCATTTTGGATGATCATGTGTTTCCTTACTTTAATGGAGCTTGTGACTTAAGATTAGTAGGTGATTGTGTGGTGATGATACATGTGTGTGTTTTACTTTGATATAGAGCTTTATTGACTTAAGGATTGCTAGGTGGTTTTGTGGTGCTATGCTGTGTAACTTAGGTAATGTTAGGCAATCTTAATGCTTCTTGTGTGGAACGAAGATAAAGCAAAACCCCATGTTCCTTTTTGCTTTTAGGTAGTTCATGTTGATAGCCATGAAAACGAAAGCTGATTACTGGCATGTTCAAGCTATCCAGGTTGATTCACCACTACAGGGTCCTTGAGTTTTTTTTTCTAATTTTTTAAATTGATATTTTTTTTCAATTTCCATCAAAATATTTCTTTTAAATAATTTATAAAGATAAAATTACTTTTCAATTTTATTATCATTTTCAATTTATAAAAATAAATTAAGGTTGGAAGTGTTCGAGGATGAGAGAACCATTTTCAAACATGAGAGGAAGCCTCGCTAACAAGTATTTATTCAATGCAAATGAGTGAAGTAAATTTCTGTACATTGTGGATGGAAAGCAGAGTGAAGCTAACAATGAAACACAAGTTGTACGATGAAATGGCTCAAAGAAATGGCTGCCTCTTCCACACACTCGGTCGTTACAGAATACATCTGCTCAATGCTCTTCGATGGCTTCAATGCATCAGAATGCTGGTCCCATCACCATCTTCAGCTTCCGCCATGGATTTGAAAAATCATAGAATGTCAATCCCAGCTATTAAACACCTCATGTGAAACGGAAAACAGATCCCCATTTCTCATGACTGCAAATGATTGACGAGAGTATAGCCATGGGTATCAGAAGGGCTCGTGCCTGGCCTGCAGATAAGTATCAGAAGAGACTTCAACAAACATGAGCATGCTTTGCATAGCAAGCAAGTATTCTACAAAGAAAGAACAATCTCTATTGATAGATGATGATAAAAAAAAAATCAAAATGAGTAAAAAACAAGGAATAATAAAAAAAAATTAATATAAAAATCAAATTTTAAAGAAGAAAATTAAAAAAATATCAAAACAAAATATATAACTATTGAAGAACAAGTTAAATAGTTTTCCACCCGAAATAAAATATATTTTTGAATTTTTTGTAATTTAATGTCAGATAATAATTTTCATCCAAAATAAAAGAAAAACACTTCTAAAAATCAAATTATTAACTTTTATAATAGTAAATAAATACAAGAAAGTTTAGGAGAAGTCGCTTTCCGTGAAACAATCGGGCTAGAATATTAACAACACTGACAATAAAGAATGATGTAAAAAATAATTCAAGGGTCAAGACATGGTAAATTCCACCCCGTGAAAGCCACAACCAACTAATGGAACAAAATCCTACAGCGCCAAGCAAACACCGCCTTCAAAATTGAGGGAATAGTAAAGGTGTAGGGAGTGAATCAATGTGAATAACAGCGAACTGAAAAGAAAAGGACTCACTTTTGGTGCTAATTTTGCGAAAAAGAAGTTGGTCATGTTAAATTCAGCCTCATTCCCAAGCTAAAGATCAGCAGCCAAATTTTATCATGACAGCAGAAAGAAAGAAAGGTGTTCTGTTATTCAATTATTTCTTTTCTTTCGTAAACATTGGCAACGGTAGAAGCACCGGCAGTCACCTCAAACTGCCCGCAAGCACCTGCCTGCCTCCAATACCACAACCACCACCATCATAACAATTCAAAATAGACACCTCCGAAACTGAAATGAACACTACTTTTACCAAATGGTCATTTCCTTTCGCAAAATCATTTACAACAGAGCAAAATGGTAAAAAATAAGTCGAATAGCCAATGCATTTTATTGAGACAATAGACAATCCAAAGCTGTCCGGTTTTGAGATTAGAAGTGGATTATCCATTCTCACAGGAGTTCATTTGGGCTTCTAATACAAAAAATGCATTGTAAAGTACCTTTTGTTAATTGTGCCGTAGTGAAATTTTCGACTTCCAGCTTTAACATCTTCAATGTACTGCAACAACAGGAGATTATATATGTGAGTAACAATAGCAAGTAAATGAAGAAACTGTGTATTGCTAAAACAGGCTCTTACCAACTTTAAAGTAACAGCCATTGATGAAAATGCCAAAGAATCAAAAGGTATATCATCTAGTGAAAAAAGTTGGCACTCCAATGACTCTGGACCAGGTGAAAAGTGGGGCTTCCTCAGCTTTGCTAAGAAAATTATGTAAGTCTGCTCCAAATAACAACAACAAACTTCGAAACCTTAAGCAAGTTCATAGAAAAATCAATATGAGAAATGAGAGGCATCTCTCCCCTTACTTGGCCAATAAGAGGGATGTCCAAATGAGCAAAGGGTGACACGACTTCCACTTCTGCGTGTGCTTCCTCCCAGGTTTCCCTGATTGCCCCTTCTGCAGCAGACTCACCAATTTCCAAGTAACCAGCAGGAAGGGTCCTACATCAGCAAAATACAATTATCTGGGTTATCCATCATGGATAATGAAGATAAGAAAAACTAAAAATGCCAAGAAGGACCAAGTACCATATGGAGTAAATGCATTTTTTTTTCTTTTTAACTACTATTTGAGGGTTTATATTAGAGAAAGCATGCAGTGGTTCCATTCTGTACCAAAATTCCAATTTCAGACGCATACCAGAGGCCAAATGATGGTTGGATGTTTCGCTTGCAGAGTAAGACCTTGTTATCATGCTCAATGAGGCATCCCACCACCTATTCAAACCAGTTTACAAAAGATAACAATATTTCCATTGCCTTCATTGAAAATGCAGTATCAAACAAACTGGAGAGAAAACCAAGAATAGAATGATATAAACACATTGCAAGGTTTTTGGCTTCATGCCTACAACGTTTTCCTTGTTTTCAGTACTCGTTAAAACAACCAGTAGAATTAAAATAATTCACACACAATTCCACAATTAGATGACTCAGAGTCCAACAGCTTATGCTCCCTAAAAACCTTTTTTGCATACAATCTCTATTTCACAACAAGTCCTCCCATGATTTGTATTTTAATAGTTGCCGAAAGAATAAATGAAGCTAGATAGTTCATGCACTTCACATTAAATGGTGATACCTGACCAGCTGTGGTGAGAACCAGGATGCTAAAATCAATTTTAGAAGAAACATACATGACACCTGTAATCAGACAAGACTGCAGAAACATACATGACATATTTGATTGTAATAATGAATGACCATACCATTTTAGGGTTTTGATAGGTAATTTTCCCACAAACTGTGCAAATAGCTCTCATCTTTTCCTCCCCATCAGGTATATCATGTTTTGTCTGGCCACCACACCACTGACAGAAATTGATCTTGCGTACACTTCCCTGAAAAGCAGATTATCATCAGCAAAGAACAACGTTGGAGGCATTGGAAAAGAAAAACAATGAGCCCCGTACAGGATTATGTGAATGCAAGTGTCTCGAATGAGACAAAAAGGGATGAAAAGTTAAAAACCACTGGCATCAACAATCAATGATATCCTGAAACAATTAATCTAATTCACACCGTCTCTTTCTAAACCTAGCTGTGGATACAAGCACTGACAAAACTTGAATAAGAAAAAAAAATATCAGTGATGTTCAAAAAAGAATACCATGTGATATGAGATTAGTTATAAGGTTCGTCTTATTTGTTTCATTCAAGTATCTTCGACCTAGCTTGTGTGTCAACCAAGATCAAGTAGCTTCCAAGTCGATCAAATAAGCAACTCAACATTTACAATAAATGAAAACAAGTAAAACATGATCAAATTCCCCAACAATGGAGGCATAAAACTAAGATAAAACTTCAATTAAAGCATGAAGGTGACCAAAAAAAATGGACTGAATAAATAAAGAGAAATTTCGACCACACAATCAAGAAAATGACAATCATAAACCCAACAGCCCAATATTCATAACTAATTATCTAATTTATCTACAAATTCAATAAGAGTATCAGGATTTCAACAATATAGAACAAAAACTGAAATAAAAGAAACTCACAGATGACTGAACAGCAACTGATGAAGAAGAAGAAGTGTCATCCATCTTAGACTCAGACCGAGTTGAGTGAGCACGAACAGGTTCCAAAGATAGAGTCTTTCGAGTCAGAAACAGAAGAGGCTTTGTGGGTCTGGTTCTTGGAGAATAATAGGATAACAGGCTGGAAGAAATTGAGACAAAAGCACTAGTTGTGGTGGCATGTGGTGGTTTCAATCTATAAAAAGATGCCACAAACCCTGTTGTTGTTCTTGTGGTTGTTGTTGTTGATGAACCAAGATTCTGTATTGCTTTTAGCATTGAAAAAGTCACCAATTTCTTGTATTTGTGACAAAGAATCTTGATGTTCGGTGAGAATTGTTTAGCAAGTATGAATGATTCTGTTTGGTGGTGGTAATGCGAATCAGAACTCAGAACCCGCGGTAACTCAGTTGCTTTTGGTGTATTTCCAGATAAGAGAACTTCATTTTGGTGCTGCAAAATTTGATTTACATTTGTTTTGTTGAGTGATATTCTCTTATGTCAGCAAGCCACGTGTTAATGTGTTTTTTTAACC